GCTATTTCTGTCTCTGAGATTGCTTTAGTACGACTCAGTTTGAGTAAGGGGTTTTGACTGAAACATTCAAATATTTTTCCTGAATGGAATTGAATTTCTAGGTGAAATTTGACTCAAACATAGAGATTGATCTAAATAATTAATCTATTGGAATCTTAGCTGTTTTTTGGAATCATGCATATGCTTTCCCTTTGGTGCATATAATTGTGGTTTATGCTCATACGAGACTCGCCTATCTGTTGACCGTTTCTCGGTTTGATTTTCTGACAGTAGGAAGCATGAATTGGTTACCTGAGGAGGATTTCAAAGGTCTCTCTGATAATTTCTTTGATGATCTCATCAATCAAATCGATTTTCCGCTAGAAGACATTGATACCACCAATGCTGAGGGAGATTGGGAAGCCAAATTTCAAGAACTTGAGCCTCCGCCCATGGATATGTTCCCGAGCTTGCCCTCTGAGTTCGCCTCTTGTGGCATTACCAAGGGTGGCCGTGTGGGGATTCAGAAGACCGTACCCATTTTGGTGAGTTCTTGGCCACGCTTGCTTACATCACGTATGCATATTACTTCTTAGATTATACTCTTAGGTTTAAACCTTCGATATTACCCCATTAGAGTAAAAAATGAGAGAAAATGCATAGTAAGTATTCTTATATCCTGAGGATGATGACAAGGTCTAATATTCTTTTTGATATAAATATCTGTACATCCATGTGAACCTGGAAGTACTCACATAATTTGGCTGATTTATATCTTTCACTATATGCGGTATTTATAACCATTATTATTAGCAGCATTGAATGTGTTCCTGATATTCAATCCATCTGCTTTGGTTTTGTCGGTGCAGAAACAGTCCAGTTCTTCTGAAGCCTTGTCTGGCAAAAATAGCACTGTCAACCAATCTTCATCACCTCCTGATATCAAAGTCTCAAAGCTATTTCAGTCTTCAAGTCCAGTGTCGGTTCTCGAGAACAGTGACGGTTCTTTCTCGCCCCAGAACTCTCGAACTCAGATATTTTCTTTCCCTGTGAAAGGCATAAGAAGCAAGCGCAAACGCCGCTCAACAACACTGGGACTTAGATACCTTCTCCCTTTTGAACCCAGGAAGCCTGAGAAGTCAACTCTGGGCGAATCAGAATCCGAGAGTTACTACTCTTCTGAGCAGCATGCCAAGAAGAAACGCAAGATCCCGCTGACCAGCCACATGGTGTCTTCCAGTTTAGAGGCAAGTTACTCGGATGGGATAGTGCGGAAATGCTCTCATTGTGAGACAACCAAGACCCCGCAGTGGAGGGAAGGACCCAATGGACCAAAGACTCTCTGCAATGCTTGCGGAGTCCGGTTCAGATCTGGCCGTCTAGTTCCAGAATACAGACCAGCTTCAAGCCCGACCTTCATCCCATCTGTGCATTCAAACTCACACAGGAAGATCATAGAGATGAGAAGGAAGGAAGACGGTCAGTTTGATACCAGCATGAATCACGCGGTGATATCCGGAGCATAAAGACATAAGAGGGCAGGACAGTTTTTGAGTTTTGCCTCAGAAACTGTAATGATCCGCAGAAATGGGAACTCAGTGGAGGAAGATGGTATAAAAAAAAGTAGTGGTTAGAGACATGTTTTAAAAATCAGATGAAGAGAGTTTAGGGTCTTAGTTGAAGTTTAGGTCTATTACATAGAGTTTGTTTGATTATGTTGTTTTATGTTCTCTCTCTCATATTTGCGAGCAAGTATGCTTGCAAAAGAAGATGTTTGGCTCACATTTATGTATGAGAGGAAGACTGGTGAAAGCCAATGTTTACCTTCTTTTATTTTTGGCCCTTATTCTTTTATTCTTCAATGCCATTACTTCTTTTCTCTTAATTTGCACTATGCTACTAATATCACAAGGAGAATATCATTTTTATTTTGTTGTCCGGAAAGATAATACATTTCTAGGGTATGAAATCTCATGAAGAACACGATACAAACGATTTCTCTCACAAGTTAAACCGCAAAAGAGTTTAAATCACGGTTCATCGCTCGAGAACAAAACATTCGTGGTAAGCAAAGTAATACATAAACACACACAAATTCCTCTAGCTGATAACAAACAACAGAGACCT